GGGTTGCTCCACAGTATTAATATATTAGAAGCCCTTATCCTATTCTCCTTAGGGTTCATACTGTAGCTCTATATATACAGCATTAGGCTCATGGAAGAAGAGAAGAACCCCATAACTTGGGAATTTCGTCCGCCCCCTCTCTCTCTCTCTTCCAAGGAGTAGTTCTATTTCTTGTGCTCCACTGATACAAGATCTAGATAGCTGTTTGAGAATACAGTAGAAGATCTTAAGGTATATACGGGATTCCAATCAGATCTATCATACATCCAAACCGGAGACCAAAACCAGCAAGTGACCATACCACGACGACCAGGAAGACGAGACGAAGAGATCGCCGTTGAGATCGCCGCCAGCCGCCGCCGCACGCGCCCTCACGTGCCGCCGGAGGGTTGCAGTTGCTGGAGACTAATCGAGCGCGTGAGAGCGCGTGACATATCCGTTTTCCAACCGGTCAACGCCGTTGACTTCGCCGTGACGTCAGCTTTCTGGATTGGTCAAGTTTGTTCGATTCCGAGAAGATTTGATTTGCGATCAACTGTTCGGGCCAGCCAGATCTACATAAATTTTAAGCAGTAAGTTTTCTTCATCAAACCTTTAGATCCGCTGCGCATAGGTTTATGTTGAATGTTTGTCCGTGATTTGTGCATATCGAGATCCTCATATGTCCCAACACTGTGGACGTTGGAACACTTAGACTCAACACTACGACTCAGCCAATTACACATGGGAGTTCACATAATTTCAATAAAAGATTGAACAAGTCAAACACACAAAGAAACAGAAGGCGGGTCGATTTACAGTTTTTAATGTAAAAACCATATATTGTAAATACTAGTATTTAATCATCAAAACAAGTTGATCAGGTTATCAAAAGAGTTAGGCTATGAAATTTAAATCAAAAATTCACCTCTCAGAACTTAGTATAACCACCAATTTTCAGCCCTAAATTCAAAGTATGTTAGTTTATAACATTCGAGCAAGTTTATGGCAAAAATGAACATAAACTAAGAACCAGACTAAAAGAATGATTCACACTCTGAAATGTTTATCTAAGGAACCTCAGCATGCACATAACAGTGATTAAAAATCTCAGCTCTAAACCACTAACATGCGAATTAATATAATTGCTACAACATTCAGCAATTTTTGCATTTTAAATAAAAGCGAAATATTTTGAACTCCAAAAATTCTAATATTTTTACAGCATGAAATACATTACAAAACAAGCCTCTCAGCCAAAAATAAGAATTTTCCAGCAATTAACCAATTTATCATAAATAAATCACTTTTTAGCAGAAACCGTAAACAAATTATTTACCCTATCAATATTAATTCAAAAATTCTAAAAATTTTGTACAGAAACCAAATCAAGCAGATTAACAACATATTAAAATTTTATGAATTTTGGAGCACTACACAATTTATTATGAATTTAACATGAATCTAACCAGAAATCACTATAATTTTTAAAAATAGCTACAGACTTCAGAAAATTCTGAAATCTTTACACGAGATATATAATGACCAGAGGCATTTACAGTAAAATTTCGCAGCAATCGGATCAGTACACAATTTATAAAAATTTAAACACTAAAACAGCGAGCATAAACGATCATAAATTCATAAATGACTCGATAAGACCCGAAACTGTCCGACGTCTTCTCCGATAGACCAAGGACCCACTATGTTCCAACATCACAACAACTTACCACGATAATAATGTGACCTCAATCGGGTTCGGACGAACCGAAGAGGTCGATACATGATTAATTCACATAACTCGATTATATAACACGATAAACAATTAATACACAGTCCCTAGCATGTAAACGACTCGTATAGCGCACGATCAGCAACTCAGCAAGCAACAAACACATATAACAATTAAATATGAGTTCTAACGACGAGATATTTCCAAAACCCGAAACACACGAAAAACAAAAATGGAATCGTATTTCGGTACCGTTCTCGGGATTAGTACACGACGACGAACGAAATGATGGCCGAGACGGGTTGTTCGGAGGCCGGGAGTACGCTCGTCGGGGCTAACGATAACGGCTGGAGGGGCGGCTAGTTTGGCGATGGAGGCGGCCTGCTGGGACCTCGCGATGACCGAGAAGGCACCAGAGACAACCGCTGATGGTCTGACGATGGACAACGGAGTGAGTAAGCTCGCCGGAGATGGAGGTGCAGCGGCGGCGCGGACAACAATGGCTTGACGATGATGAACGCCGGACAGCAGGGGTTCGCCGGGGTTGCAAGTGATCGCTGCTGGTTCACGGTGGTTGGTGACGGACAGCGGCCTGCTGGGATTGACGGCTGCTCGCGTGGAGGAGGAGGCTCGCCGGACTGTTTCACAACCTCGCCGGGAATGGTGATGGCGGGACCTGCTGCGATGGTGATGATGATCAGGTATGACGAAGGTGATGATCAGAGGGTGTTGACGTGAGGGTGACGGGATGATTATGATATGAGGATGATGGAGGAGCGATCAATTGCGAGAGATTTCTCTCTGCAGGGATGACGATGATGATGCGGGGAAGACGAGAGAGAAGGAGCAGATTATTAAAAAGCTGCGGGATAAAATTATATCTGCTAAGGGTTCTCTAATTATATACATATAATTAGGTTTAGCAATTAATCTTGCTCCCCAAGATAAATTCACACGCACACACACGCACGAGGAAAAAGGGAAACCGGGTCGGCTGGCCGGGTGCCAAGATTCCTCGGGCTCGATAATAATCGGATGATAATAAAATAAAATAAAACGGGACATTAATATTTACATATATATTACACACAATTTATTTGATTATAATATAAAATTAGTCAATTAATATTAATAATAGTAATATTACTAATAACAACAAATAATAGCAAATTGGCATTTAAAAGCAATAATAATAATAATAATAATAATAATAATAATAATAATAATAATAATAATAATAATAATAATGAAGACAATTAATAATAGCAATAATCAGTAATTATTCCCAATTAATCCACAATAAAACGGGGTGTTACAGTCTATCCACCTTACAAAGAATTCCGTCCTTGGAATTCAAAAATAAAACTAGAAAGCAACAAAATACAAAGGGGAACTCAGAACATAAAGTTCGGATACTTCCACCGGGTATCAGCCTCTCTCTCCCGAGTCGCCTCATCCTCGCCATGCCGGCCCATCGCACCTTTGACGAGACTAGCTGCCCGTTTCTCAATTGATGACCCCTACGGTCCAAAACAGCCACCGGTACCTCAACCTAGGTAAGGTCTCACTCAACCCGCAACTCGCCAAAGTCCACACCACATTCTCAGGGTCACGCAAGCTCTCACGAAACATCACACGTGGGATACGTCGTGAACCCTACCAAAACTAGTGGTAAAGCCAACCGGTATGCAAGGCCACTGACTCGTTCAAGTATCACACATGGCCCTACGAATCACGGCTGAAGTTTTCCCCTCTTCCTGAAACGGATCACACCCTACCTCGGTGCATCCTACAGGAACACAGGATCACCTACCTCGATCCAGTACAACAGCGTTCTCAACATATACCCGCACACCTCCTCACAACGCATCTATCAACACACAAGACTCCAAACAGTCTTCCAGTGTATTGACATCATGATACAAACCTCCTCCAACAGGGGTCGACACGTGGTATCAAGCTTCAGTACCATGCCCGGGTCACGCTGAAAACTTGTCCACTAACACACTCTTCATAGTCTCAACCTATGAAGCATCATAGTCTCCAATCGAGACTCGTGACACCACTCGACAACACTGCCGAGTCACAAATTTGAGATCATCTCACATATGGCATAGGATTCTAATCGACAAATCCCTCTTGTCGAAATATATTGATCTAGGGAAACCCCACAACGGTTCAGTAAATGTTGGAGCTCTCAGTTCAAGGCTCAAAAGAAAGCTTCAATGTCAAAGGTCTACCGTACACACTGTACTAGGGAGTTCGTGCGTTTAGTGATGGTGGCTGCAGCTCACGTGCGAGTCAACGATCGGCCCCGGCCGGTAGCCTCACGTCTCTCAGCACGGGCTTGCGTGCTCGACCACCACTTCGCGTGGCTACACCCAATCAGGGTCGGTGTTCGGGTCAAGGTGCAGTCAAAAAGTTCTCAGTTCCATGGTTTAAAATCTCCAAGGTTTTTGGATAGATAAAATTTCCACAAGACAAAGTTTGGGGTTCAACAAAACAATTTTCCTCCAGGATTTAGGGATTAAGAAAATCTCAAAAGTTTCAAGGGCTACAAATCAACACAAGGCAAAAACCGAGTTCCAAGTTCACCACCCCTTTTCCCCAATTCAGAACAACTAATCACACTGATATACACCATAGGAATATGAATAAAATTCCCAAGAGATCGAACATCGGCATCCCCAGCCAGGAATAATCCTAACTCGGCGGTCATTGCCGAACAAATAAAATGATTAGCTCGTTTGACTCTTCTGACTAACAACGTCGGCCGTCACGTCAGCTATTACTCAGGTAGCTAATCATCAGCGGTCCTAAACGAGCCCAACTCGCTTATACTGCCTCTAGCTTCCTCAGTTCGAGATCTCAGCGTAAAGCTTTTCTCGTAAGTGTTCCAGTCAACAATGTAATACCAAACAGTTAGGTCATGCAGATCACGTAGCCATGCAGAATAAAGGTGAAAACTCAATTTCGAAACATAACACTAGTTTGCAAAAATGGCACATGAGCAACATCATTAAATCAAGTATATTTTGCAGCACATAAACAGAATAAGCATGACCCTAGATATACAAATCCTAAAATATGTAGTTACAAAACATATGAAGAACTTGAAAACAAATAAGGTCATTAAACAAGAGATAAATCAACAAACATTCATTACAGAGAAACAGTCAAAAACTGAGAACATGTCACTGATCAGAATTTCAGTGAACACACTTACAGCACCTCAGTAAATCATCAAAATTTGGAGCTACAAAATTCCAAATCATGCAAGCTCAAACCTTACAGAAACTACACATGCAAGGCTACCACTTTCATGTTGGTCGATTTCACATTCGAACACATTTGGTACACCGAAGCAGGACAATCATTTATACTTCAAAAACAGCTACGGTTTTATAAAAACTAGACATACTACCACTTTGTAAAAATCATATAAAATCCATATAAACTCCAAATGACATGATTACAAGACCAACATGAAGCTAAAGAGTAATGCTACAACTTTCATGAAGACATATATGGTAAACAAGGGCATTTGATCATAGTTTATGCATCAAACATTTGGAACATGGTTGAAGTCCGAGAACATAATTATACAACTTACAGGGCCTCAGTAAAATTGGATTATCTCATGCTTCAGACATGCTTTTGGCTTGACTAACAAGGAGCTAACACATGAAGCTATATATCTCATGAAGACTATGTTCGCATATGAGCACATTCAGGCATCGAAAACAGACAAAACATTTTATACGACATGCTGTCGGGTTTTCAGAAAACTGTTTGAACAATTTTTATTTTTTTTTTAAAAAAACCATATCTCCTCAACTTAGATCGAATTTACAAAATTTCTAAACTCGCTGAAAACAAAAGAATCATGTTATATTTCCCAAGAAGAATTCAACTCCAAAAACCACAGTCTTGGAAGCATACTGGTCATGATACAAAGGTACGAAAAACAATAAATTTGCATGCTAAACACATCGAGACTTAATTATATTTAAATGATCATAAGCATATTAAACCAATCCACTAGGCATGAATATCAGTATATAATCCACACATATTCGTACCTTAACCCAACAGCGTGCCTCAAATTCACGGCACAGAATGTTCACACGGTGTCTGATCGATCCACCCGTTCCTTGGACGATATCGCAGTCTTCTATATCAGCCTTCATGACTTCCGCTCAACTTAATGCACAAGACTTAACCACTATCGCTTCTCCCGAGGTCTACTACCCTCGAGGGTCGTGACAGTGATGTGCATTAGATTTTCCCCTAACTATGGGGTCGATCATCGATCTGCTCGTGGCACCTAAACACCACTCCCTGTCCTCATTGACTGGGTATAAATCTCTGGGTAATCGCTTTCAATAGGGAGTTACTCGGTTCTCAACCTTTCTCTTACGAGATAAATCACAAATGGTCCTACTCCGAGGACACTGAACGAAACTTGTAGCGAGAATACTGCTATAGACGCTCAACTAAAACATAAATTGGAAACTCACAACAAAGAGCTTCTAGAGATACAACTGAACTCCCTACCACTAGAGTTCGATATATAATCAAAGGTGGATAAACCTAAGCCCCAAATATTAATAAATCATATCTCAAGCAATTTGAATCAGAATTCATATTACAAGTATTCCATCGATACTTATAAAAAAACATACCTTAAGCAGTGCGGCATGACGAAGACGAGTGGTCGAAACATAAGGTATAAATCACATAATCACATATAAACCAGTCTACAAAAACGCAGACTGGCTCTGATACCAAACTGTAACGCCCCAAAGATTTTTAAAGACAATTCTGGACTTATCCAAAAATCTTGTTTTAAAATTTCGAAACCATTTATCGATTTATAGAACATTTGGCGCTACTCGATAACTTTTCAAAGTTAAACATATAATCAGCATAAAAGAAACGAGAATATTCAGCATAATTCAAGTTCCAGGACTAGATTTCAACATATCTAGCAATAGGATTGTCAACATAATCCAAACTGATAATAATAATCCACATGGTTCAAACACTTCAACCAATCCCAAAAGCGATAGGAACAATAACAATGTCTGATAATCATAAATATCAAAGCATGCGGAAGCAATAAAAATCATTAATAATGTTTGACCACCCACTCGTCTTTAGTCTCGTCATGCCCAACACGTGCTTAACCTGCATCAATGAAGAGCAGGTGGGGATGAGCACAAATATAAACGAGGTGCTCACCACTATGCATAATATATTTGTAAGAATCCTATACTAGAGTCATACGCAAGTACATGGTCAAAAGACATAACACACCACTCTCCTACTCATCACTATACTCATGTGCACACCTATCAAACGCCGCCAGGGGTAAGCCCAAACTCGTCAGCGGGAGTACAGTCGTGCCGAGGTTCAACATCAACGGTCACGGCCCATCGACTAGGCTTAAATGAGTCTACCTATGACAAGGTTGGAGATCGCCCACCACTAGGCACCGTCTCATGACTCACACATACATTCACAGACATTCTGTATAAAAATCTTACCTCAATATTAACATAGCAAATTTTAGATTAAAACCCACCTGGTAAATCAGTAGAAAGCACACAAACAGGTCGGTAGGTCG